TACGAGGCTGGTATTCCAGTCCGCTTTCCTTTTCCTTACAGGGCCCTTCAGGCCCATGCTGCCTTCTAGTGATTCATTGAAAATCTGTGCTGACCTCCACAGCAAGGGACATCCGGAAGTGACAAAAGTTGTTGAGAGAGGAGGTCATCCACTACTAATTCGCGGATGATCAGCGAGAAAACTTAGAACATGAAAAAAGCAGCTTAGCGGTTAAGAAGCTACAAATGCAGTGCATAAGTGAGACTAAAAATTCCAATCCTTATTTATATTTTATCAATAATTAGCGTCAATTCCTACCTTAGTCTGCAGTCGTACGTACCGCTTGTACGTCTTCAGTCAGTTTTGCTTTTATGATGCGCCTCCAAACAGTGGTTCCTTTTTTTTCTACCGCATAGGGCAAAATTCCGGGCAAAGTTACCCGTTTTTTGTGAGCAGTGATCCCATTTTTTGCGCTACTTCTATCCTAGAAATGTGTACTTTGAAGCGATATTTTCCTGAAGTTTTGTATTATGCAAGCCAGAGCAATCGTACGGTCAAGTTGTACCCGCTGCGACTTTGGAGCACTTCCAGTTGCGCAACAGTGCACCGCGGGGAAGCGCTTTTATCATGTGGTGGTCAGGGGGGACCGGACGGACATTCGGTGTTCATTACACAGTATATACCCTTGTCAGTGGACATTGTCCATCGCTCTATTGCTGCTGCTGCTGTTGCTGGAAGCATTTCTCAACAATCGTGCTCGCCGCTGTTGGCGGCAGCGACCCATCGTCGCACATCCAAATAACCCAATTATTTGTTACAATTCTAAAATTTTATTCCTTTTGCCAGAATTCGTTTCCTCACAACGCCACCGTCGTCGTCGTCATCACCTCCGCCCGCTGTCAGCCTTTATTATCCTCAATTCCTCACATTTTTGCATGCTCCTTGCCCCAACCGCAAATGACTTATTTGTCTTTCATTCGCTGTTTGTCTGATCTGAAGTCATTTATTTTTCTTGCATTTTAATTAGTATTATTTGTTTTTATTTAAAATATTTGTCTAAAATATTATTTCGTTTATCTCGCATTAAAATTATTCCTTCAGTAATCGATCATCCATTTGTTCTAAAAATTTTGGCCTGTTTTTCTGCAAAGAAATTTCAGACTTTTCCACGCTGAAGCAATAATGGAGAATCGCTCTGCGAGATGGCGATGGCAGAGATCCAACTTGAACAATCCCGGGACATTTGGCTTCTCCAGCCGTTAACGTGAGCAACAGCATTTTGGATAATAAATATATACTCATCGTTCAAGGAAGCCGTTTCTCATCCAGGTATTGATAGCTTTCAAGAAAACGAGGATGGAAGGGAAGAAAAACGTAAGTCGTTGATGGTCTATTGGTGCAGTGGTAAAGAGTGACATGTGGTGGTGGGAGAACCGGGGTTCGATTCCTCACTCCGTCTGCGATGATTACCGAACTTTCATTGTGTAATGATAAATTATGATTACAAAAGTATTCGTACTGTATGAGCAGACGTCAGTCCTTCTTCCTACCTGAGGTATTATCACGTAAGATATTATCAGTAGCTAGTCTTAGTTATCAGAGATATTCCAGTGCTTCCTAAATGCGTCTGTACCGATCTGAAGTCATTCTGAGGTGTTCCGCTTTTAAATTGCTAAGTTATAACTTAGGCCTTTTTTATGGATCCTCCGTGAGCTTGCATTTTACCCCGCTGTTAGCCCTGTAATTTGCGAATTCATGCAGTTACGTGAATGAACATCAGTATGAATACACGCAGACCCACGTACTTTATCGGCGGGGTTTGTTTTAGAAGCTAGATAACTGCTATACAAAGTTAAAACTTCGCTCCGTAATTGCTCTGTCTGAAAGACGGAGGCATACGGAACTAGCCCGAGTGGTAGCAAACGCCAACAGTAACCACACGCTGGCAAGGCTGTTGATGGCTTCCTCTTTCATGGCTTTTTTTGCAAGCAAGCTGATGGTGGAGGTTTGACTTTCCAGCACATGCCAGTACCAAATTTACCATCGAAACGAATGAATGAATCATAAAAGAACTGATTGCTCTGTTGACAAAGTCGAATTCTTGACCCACAGCACCGCAACAGTGTTACTTCTCATTGTGCATGCTCACCGACACTTCATCTCATTTTATTTTCTTAGAGATATTTGACAGAGGGCAGTTTTGATGCACGCACGTGCTATAGGCGAACACGAGACTACTCATGATTTCTTTGTTTATCAATTAAATCGTGTTTACCAAATCAAATCGTTATCAAACTCCACTTCGAAAATTTTTTTTGATTTCAACTAAATTAATGATTCGGGTAACCAGTTGTTGAGAAAATTTTGTTTTTCCGTGAATTTTTTAAGTGGGGACAACGGAGGAAATTGGGAAGGCCTGGGAAGGAAGTAAAGAATTGTGGTCGGAACAGTCACGAGGAGGAGGAAGAAAAATAATTTCTTCAGGAATCCTCATCACCTCCTCCCTCCCATCCCTTCCTCCCTGCTTCTGCACTACCCCGTGTTATTTGAATATTTTGTGAAGTTATGAAAAAGGTTGAAAACAAGGGAAGTAATAATTAAAAGGAAGTAAAAACTGAATTGGAATGTTTCAGTCCATTAAGGCGTAGTTATTGCAAAAAAGATGCAGCCAATTTCTTTCGGATCTGACTCACAATTTTCTTGGCCTTTCATTTCCTGGTTGCTTTCTTCCCCATTGGTGCTGTTGTGTTGGTCTTTCGGACTGGAATCCCTTTTGTGGACAACACCATCTGTTGTTTGGAACTAACAAAAGTCAGGCTCTGCTAATGATGCTAACTCGAACCTCCGAATTCTCGTACTACGTTGATTCGAATCATTCGTGTGCAGAACTCCGTGAATAAGTGATGTGCATGTTGTGAATGAGCTCTGATTGCAGCTAGAGCCAGTAAACTGGCTAATCTTTAGTCCAGGACAAGCCCAGCTCCTGCTGTTTCATCTAATTTGATGCATATCTGTTTATCCATCTTTTGTTAATCAAGCTTCTTTTTTAGTTTTCTTGACGCAGTTTCTCTGTTTTTTTTTTTCTGGTTTTTTCATCGCTTTCTTTTTCGCTGAAATATATATAAATCTGCTTTGATGAGCAAGAAAGAAGTGAAGGAACGCCAAGAAGAGGTTCGACAAGCTAAATTTGGGAGGTATGAAATCACTGCGTTTTTCTGGCTTAAACTTTAGAGGTGTGAACTGACGACGGGACATGTTGCTCACCTTACCGACAACTGGTAGACACTGTGCGTCGGTGAATATAATTCACGAGGGATGACCACTTGGGCGATTTCCTAAGAAGTGGCGCACATTCATTGAACAGGCATTGGGTACCAACTGGAGGTATACAATCTAAAATCGAGGGCCTGACACAGCTACGTTCGATATTTGTGGGCAATCCGATAATATCACCAATGTGGGATACTCAAACTGATAGCTTGAGATCTTGGCATCTTGATAGTATCTTTATATGGACATAAGTTAGAATGTTAAATTCGATTTGTTTTTTTGTCTTCTTTTTTGTAAGGAATAAATGTTAAAATCAAGAATTCTTCTGCATTCACTCCTGGCCAAAAGAAAGGGCATTTGGTAGTAGCAAGTGGCTGCACGTGTCAATAGTAACTACCGCTAATCAAATTTTCGATGGCCCTTTCTTTCAGAGTTTGCGTAGAAATAAACCGTTGGAGGTTTTCTGGCACTTTGTTTTTTTGCAGACAAAATTTGTGTTTTTCATTCTGCGCCAGACTATCAGAAACAGTCTGAAGTTGGGTTTATCAGATTTACATCTCCAACTTCGCATACCTCGATTTGAAAGACGGAGAGAGCGCTTTTTTTTGTTTATAAAGTTGGATTAACAGACCAAATCGGTTTACAGTCTTCCCAGCTGCGGAAACCAAAAATCAGGCCGAGAGAAATGAACGTCTTCCTGAAACTGTTATTTTGGAACTCGTTTATCTCTCGCCTCCTCACTTCACTTCCCTACTTTTCTCTTTCCAAATTCTTAATGCAGTGCAAAAGGAGGTGATACTTGTCCGTAAGCAACTCTCTTCTTTTATCCTTTCATCGTAACTGCTAGCCTTTGAAGAAGTAAGCATCGGCAT